TAATAACACGAGTGGTGATAATAGAAATAAGAGTCGTCGTAGTTTCTTCGGGAGGTCGTGGTAGTCAAAGCAACAGTAGTACTAGCAATGGAAATAAAGATGCTGCTTCTAGTGGGAGTACGACTAGTAGTAGCGTTCGTAATGATAATAATACTCTGCATCAACAAAAAGGAAAACACCACTAGGGCTACAACTGGCAATTGCAGCAGTAATGCAGTAAAACTGATGATAACAGTAACAATAACAATCGCAATCGCAGCAGTAGTACGAGTAATCGTTTTCGTAGTCGTAGTAGTAGTGGGGATGATGAGTTACGTATAACTAGCAGTGGTAGCAGTAGTCCTAGTAATATTTAGAGAAGTACTACGAATAGCAGTAATAGTCGCCGTAGTAATAGTAATACCCGAAGTCGCACAAATAGTGGTAGTCGTAGTCGTAGACGTAGTAATACTAGTCGTAACAATAAAAGCAGGTGGCAACAGTAGCTAGAGACGTGGTCGTCGTCATTGTCGTCGTCGCCGGAGTAGTAGTAGGTAGCAGGCAGCAGGTACTAGGTCGTAGGTAGTAGTAGTAGTATTAGCAGTAGTTTTGTTCTAGTAGTAGTCGTAGTAATACTAATAAGACGACTAGTACTAGTAGCCGTCGTAGTAGTAGTAGTAGTAGTAGTAGTAGTGGTCGTAGTAGTAGTAGTAGTAGTAGATATCGCAGTCGTAGCGAATGTAGTAGTAATAGTAGTAGCAGTTGGAGTAGTTAGTACTCGCAGTAGTGTGCTCAGCGGTAGCAGTCGTAGGTAGGTAGGTCGTAGTAGTAGTAGTAGTAGTAGTAGTAGTAGAACAGTAGAAATAGTAGTAGTAGTAGTCGTCGTCGTAGTAGTAGTAGTAGTAGTAGTAGTAGTAGTAGTAGTCGTAGAAGTAGTAGTAGTCGTAGTAGTTGTAGTAGCAGTAGTAGTAGTTGTAGCAGTAGTAGTAGTAGTAGTAGTAGTAGCAATAGTAGTAGTAATAGTAGTAGTAGTAGTAGTAGTAGTAGTAGTAGAAGTAGTACTAGTAGTCGTAGGTAGTAGTAGTAGTAGTAGTAGTAGTAGTAGTAGGAGTAGTAGTAGTAGTAGGAGCAGAAGAAGTCGAAGTAGTAGTAGGAGGAGTAGCAGTAGTAGTAGTAATAGTCGTAGTACTAGTAGAATAGTAGGGGTAGTAGCACCAGTAAAAGTAGCAGTAGCAAAGTAGTGCTAGTAGTCGTAATAGTAATAGTAATAGTAGTAGTTGTTGTTGTTGTTGTCGTAGTAGTAGGAGTAGTAGTAGTAGTAGTAGTAGTAGTACTAGTAGTAGTAGTAGTAGTAGTAGTAGTAGTAGTAGTAGTAGTAGTAGTAGTAGTAGTAGTAAAAGTAGTAGTAGTGGTAGTCATAGTACAAATCGTACTAGTAGTAAGAGTCGTAGAATTAGTCATACAAATAAGAGTAGTAGTACTAGAAGTGCACGTAGTAGTAGTAGTAGTAGTAGTAGTAGTAGTAGTAGTAGTTGTAGTAGCAGTAGCAGTAGTAGTAGTCGTAGTAGCAGCAATAGATACAGTAGCAGTAGGAGTCGTAGTAGTAGTAATCATAATAGTAGTAGTAGTAGCAGCAGCAGCAGCAGCAGTAGTAGTAGTAGTAGTAGTAGTGGTAGTAATAGTAATACTAGTAATAGTAGCCGTAGTAGTAGTAGTAGCAGTAGTAGTAGTAGTAGTAGTAGTAGGAGTTGGAGTAGGAGTAGTAGTAGTAGTAGTAGTAGTAGCAGTAGTAGTAGTAGTAGTAGTAGTAGTCGTAGTCGTAGTCGTAGTCGTAGTCGTAGTCGTAGTCGTAGTCGTAGTCGTAGCAGTAGTAGTAGTAGTAGTAGTAGTAGTAGTAGTAGTAGTGGTAGTAGTAGTAGTAGTAGTAGTAGTAGTAGTAGTAGTAGTAGTAGTAATACTAATAGTAATAATAATAAAAATAATACTCATGATAATAATAGTGGTGGTAGCAGCCGTGGCCGCAGCAACAGCAAGTAGCCGTGAAGTGCAGAGGACGATGAGAAGGAGCATGACTTCCGTACCCTACCGACACTCGTCCGAGCGAAGGCCGCACCCAACTAGAAGATTGCCAACCTGATCGCTGAGGAGCGGCGTAAGTGCAGCTGTCGCTCTTACCGCTCGCCGATCAGGAGCTCGCGTTCCTCGTCGTCCTCCTCGTCGCAGGGCGTCCGCGCCAAGCCGTACTCCCGCCAGGCAGCGCTCCTGCCGATGACGCTCGCCAACCTCTGGCTCGCGCCCGCCGCGCCTCGAGCTCCACCGGCGCCCTTCCCGCGCTGCCGCTGCTGCAGCCACGCGGCGCCCACCAGCACTGCCGCCGCCCCCGCCGCAACCCACAGGCCCGTCGCGCGCCAGGCCGCCAGCAGCCGCCGCAGGGCCCCCGCCACGCCCGCGTTCGCGGCGCAGGCCTCCGCCCGGGGCGACAGGTCCACTCCGCCCTGGCAGCCGTTGCCGGCAAGCCGCACGTAGCCGCGGGACACGAGCACCTCCTCCTCCGCCGTCCCCGCGCAGAGGCTGGACACGTTCGGCGCGTCCTGCGCCTCCGCGGGCTCGCACGGCGCGCCGCGGCCGTAGGTCGCCCGGCGGAACCCGGGCGCGCAGGTCCAGTCGGCGCTCGTGCAGGGGCAGGGCGCGTCCGTCCGGAGGTCACGCGGGGCGAGCATCAGCGCCTGGGCGACGGTGCGGCACGCCCTGTCCGCCCGGCGACGGGTGTAGCGCGTGCGGACCCCCAACCAGCAGGCGGTGCGCCTGGACTCGTGGGCATCCTCCATGGCATCTGCGGGTGACCACTTCTCGAAGTCCGAGGCAGACGTGCCTGCGTCGGCGGCCCCCTTGCACACCACTGGCAGCGCCACGGAGAGGTCCACGGAGGCGAGCTGCACCGCGGGCCCCACGTCGCTGCCCAGCGCCACGAGCGCGCGCCAGTCTGTGTGCGCTGGGTGCGTGAAGAGCCCCGCCGCGGAGAGCCCAGGCGGTCCTTTGTAAATCCGGGCAGCATGCCAGTGGACCCCGCTGTCGGTGGAATAGTGCAGCGTGGCCGGGGACTGGTGCGGCACGGCCACGAGCACGTCGCCGTGGCTCAAGATGGCGACGGAATGCATGCCAGACAGCGCGAACGCCCAAGAGATGCCAGCGTCACGAGACACCCAAACCTTGAAGTGATCGGGCTCGTCCGAGAGCTTCTGGCCGACATTGCCCACTCCCAGCACAAGCCCCGGGGCCGCGGCGGCCGAAGTCCACGAGGCCAGGTGCAGGCGGCAAGAACCGGGTCGCCTCCCATTGGGGTCCGTCCGCTGGCAGTCTTCGAAGGCCTGCTCTGAGGGCCACCCACCTGGGCGGCAAAAAGAGACGGGCCTTACGCGAGATGGCTCAGCGACCTTCCTTCGCAGCTTCCGCGGGCCGCCGGCGCCGCGCGCTGCTTTGGAGACGAGGGCGCTTGCGCGCGACCTTACGCGGCCAGCTTACGCGCCAATGTCGGCGAAAACCCCGTCTTTTTTGCGTCGCTGACCTGAGTTGCCCGAGGGCGGCTGCAGCGGCTGCCACGCGAGGCCCATGTTCAGGGAGATGTAGGTCCGCACCGCGAACCTCCGCGGCTGACTCCCCGCAGCCGGCACGTCGGTGGCTCCGTCCTCTTCCTCTGTCTCCAGCAGATCCGCCTGCGCGTCGTACTCGCGCTCGGCCTCGTCCAGGTCCTGCCCTCGGTCCAGCACGGCGCGGCTGGCGATGAAGACGCCATCCACGCCCTGGACCGCCTCGAACGCCACGCTGGCGAGTGCGCTGGGCCGGTGCACGTCGGTGAGCAGGAGCTCGACGTCGGGCGATCCTCGCGAGCAGCTGAAGACGTGGCCCCACGGCAGATCTGGGTCCGCCGCGGCGACGTACAGCAGGGCCGTGTGCTCCGTCGAGTGCAGCACTTTCATGTGGCGCAGCTGCCGGGGGAGCACGGGCCCGATCCTCGGCGGGAAGGCCACGGGCCGAAGGCCCTGCGCGCCGGGGGCGTCGTCGCCGAACCAGAGCCGCAGGCCCGCTCCGGCGGGCTCTGGGACCAGCGCGAAGATGAAGCTCTGGTGGAGATGGACCTGCGAGGCGGCGCCCACACCGCCCGGCGACGCCACGCCGACCACCGCGGCGCTCGAGTTCAGGAAGTCCTCGGTGACGACGACGTCCTGCAGGTTGTCCGGGGGCTTCGTCCGGGCCAGCCGGGCGAGCACGCCGCTGCTGGCTGGCTGCGGCGCGGGCACGAACCGCGACACGAGCATGCGGCTGGCGTTCGCTCCGTGCGGCGGCACTGCCCAGCGGCTCTGAGCCACGTTCGACGCGAACAGCCTCCAGGAGGCGCCGCCGTCCTGGGAGTAGAGCGCGTCCCTCGGCCGGCGGCCCGGCCGCACGCCCGCTTCCCTGGCGGACCAGGCGGGGGACTCGGCCAGCACCCAGTTCGCCACCGTCGGGTGCCACTGCCAGGAGGCGATCGTGTGCTCCCCGTGGCTGGGCGTCGTGAGCTTCATCGCCTGCCAGCTCCGCCCGCCGTCGCGCGACAGCAGCCACAGGCTCGAGTTCGTGATCGCGGCGACGAGCTGCGCGTCTGCGTGGCTGACGTGGATCTGCTCCACGCGGAAGGGGGCGCTGCCGCTGGGCAGGCTGACGCTCTCTCGCAGGTCCTGCCAGGTGGTCCCGTTGTCGCCGGAGGTATAGGCCGTGCCTGCCTCCGACAGTGCCACGATGCGCCCTGCGCCACCGCCGCACCCGCACGCAGCCGCGCAGGCCGCTTCACGCTGAGCGGCCGCGTCGCTGAAGCCGTCCCCGGCGCAGCCGCCCCTGCACTTCAGGTCGCAGCGCAGGCCGCTGCTGCCGGCCCAGACGACCTGGCTGAGGGCCGCCTGGAAGCTCCCGCTGTGCACGGGGAGCTCGGGGCCGCCGCACGTGGCTGCCAGGAGCTCCGCCGCGAGGATGAGCGAGCGGATCATGGCAGCCGCCGCTTGAGCTCAGATGGCTACAGATGAGAAGGAGCACGATGGCGAAAGGTACATCACATCAAGGAGCAAGGCATTGGCAGGGGGGGGGGGGCGATCTGGAGAGGCAGGCCTCACGGGGACTGGGCAGACGTGTTGGTAGGAGGGGGAGAGGGATGAGGAGGGGGAGGGAGGAGGCGGAGCAGGAGAAGGGGATGAGAGGAGGGGGAGGGATGGTGGGGAAGATGGGACAAGGGAGGAAACGACGGGTGTCAGGGGTTAGAGCATCATGGCGCGAGGCACGGGCGCGGACGAGGGAGGCCCAGGGAACGTGTTGAAAGGAGGGGAGAGGGGAAGTGACATCTGGGGGAGGTCATGGCCCCAACCATGATAATTATCCACACACACACACCTAGTCTTCACCCTCAGTGGAGGCCCCGGGATACCGCGACATCCGAACCCTAACCTCACCAACCAGCGATTCTCCTGAATCGATGGGAGGCGAGGGTAGGGTTCGGATTTCGCCACGTGCCCGACGAACTCCGATCCCTGCCCCCTCCGCCCATCGAGTTGCCTGAATCGCCGATCGGAGGTTCGGACTTCGCCGTCGAGAACTGGAACGACCGACACCCCCTCCTCGGACAAGCGCCGCCCAGCAGGCATGGGGTGTCAAAAAATATACACCACCACCACCACCTCCCTCCCCCCCTCCCTCTCGCTGGACAGAGGAGAGAGGAGGAATCGACGTGGTGGTGGTGTATATTTTTGGGGCCCCAAAGGCAGAGACCCGACGCATCAGCGGCGACGTTCGCCCCGCACCGGCGCGGCCCCGAGGGCTCGGAGAGGTGCCGACCGCGGGGCCGGTTCGAGATCCCGCGGCTCCCTCGGGCTCGGTGGCAACTCGCGGGAGCCTCCCGTGCCATCTTCCTGGCTCTTGCGAGTCGACGCTGGCTGACGCGAGTCGACGCTGAACGCCAACTCAGCACCAGTCGACGCCAGGTCGGCGCTCTTTTCTATCGATGACCAGAGGCAGAAAGGCAGATGTAAGTACCAGGACGCACAGGGCTCCCGTGACGTGCTGCCGAACGAACCACTCTCACACCCCAGACGGGCCCCGCCCAGCGCAACGCGGGCATCTGGTGTGTTCCGGAGCAGGCAGGCAGGGGAGAGAGGAGGAGGGGCTGGACACAGCTCAACCCAGCCCAACGCAAGCTGGGGTTGGAACGCTGTCTACGCACGACATGTGCCAATGCGGGTGTGCCCACCTATGGGAGCAGATGCGAAAAGCTGAAAGGAGGAGGAATAGAAACATAAGAAGAAGATTAACAAAAATAAGAATTAGAAGGAGAGGAGCGCCCGTGGCTCCACAGGCGTATGGAGGAGGAAGAAGAGCACGTGGAGGACGGGCCCCCCCAGCCGCCCTCCTCGCACCTCCACAGGCCGCCCTCCAGCCTCCACCGAAGACGGCCGCTCGACAGCCGCCTTCGTCGTGAAACAGAACGTCGCACCCTGAACATGTCACGGCCAGGCCTTACGAACCCGTCCCTTTGTCCGTGACCTCTCGAGCCGAATCGGCCCGCGAGGGCCCAGGTGCGCGGAGCGGGGCGAGGCCGCACGTCATGCTGCTTCCGCGACGCCCACGTGCCAAGGTCTTACAAAATGCCTCTGGGCCAGGCACGGACAGTCCCCACCAGGTATATCCCCCGCTGGCCTCAACACGGCCCCCGCCCGAGCAGTCCCGGCTGACCCCAGCATGTCCTCCGAGCTGCCCGGGGCGGTCCCAACACCCCGCCGCCGCTTCGGGCGGCGCCCCTGGGGCGCTCCGCGCCCCGGAGATCGAGGTGCTGAGACCGCCCCCGGACTTCTCGGGGGAGGCCTGCTGAGGCCAGCTTCGACGACCCGGGGCGGCTGTTGAGGCCAGCTGGAACTTACGTACGGCCAGAAGCTCCTTCGGCTGCACGTAAGAGTGACCCTAGGCAAGAGTAACCTTCGGTGCGCGGCTTTGGGGGCCGCGGGGGGGCCAACCACAAGCGCGCAAGACGCCACTGCCGCCTCGCGTTCGGCGGTCGGGGACGCCAATGGGCCCGCACCAAAGGTCACTCCAGCGAAGGGTCACTCTTATTAGGTCGGGCGTGTCCCCTACAGGCGGATTTCGGACGAAAATTGAAAAATACCCTCAAACATCATCAACTAATATTCAAAAATTAGAAAAACATCGTCCCCATAATTATATATATCTATATATATATATGTATACACACCTCTTCCTATATTCATATAAGCCCAGGCGGGGGACCCCCCCCCAAAAAAAAACCGGACTCCCGGGATCTGGGGCTTTGGGACCCTCCGGACGGGCCTCGAAGCGGCCCCCCGGGCCTTGCAGGGCGTTTTGCCAAGCCTTCGGAGACGTCCCAGAGACCACCAAGACAGCACAAGAGCGCTCCAAGAGTGACCGACGTGACCTCAAGATGGCCCAAGAGGCCTCCAGGACGGCCCCAAAGAGGCCTCCAAGAGCACCCCCAAGAAGGCCCCAAGAGGCAACAATCATTGATTTTCTGTTGGTTGTTGGTGAATTTTGGGGTTCTCCTCTTTTCGGCTCCCCGACGCTCCAAGACGGCGATCTTCTGGGCTTCCGAAGCCGCCGGGGGAGGCTCCAAACTCGCCCCACAACCATCCGAAAGGGCTTCCGGGCAGTCCAAGAGAGGCCCAAAACGGCACAACACGGGTCCAGGATGACCCTCAGAGAGCCCCATGGCGGCCCAAGATGGCCCCAAGACGCCCTCCGAAGGATTCCAAATCGTGACCCGGTCGTTCAGGGAGACCGCGGTTGGAGACAGGTTGGCCCGAGGAAGCCCCCAGAGGCCCCCAGAATACGCCCAGGAGGCCTCCAGAAGGCTTAAGAAAGCCTGAAACAACTCAGAGGCTCTCCAAGGAGGAGCCTCCGCAAAAAAGAGCTGAGGAGGATGGGGAGAATGCGCAGGGTACGGCGAACATGAAGAAAAAGAAGCATGGAGGAAGGACAACGAATCACATTATTATGGCGGCGATGCCAGGAAAGGCAACGAGGAATTATCGCTAAATTGTCGGCCTGACCTTCCTGCTGTTCCGCCTGCACGCCAAACTTCGAGGACCAAGGTGCATGGCGCGAAGCGCCACTGCAGACTTGTGTATACATATATATATACACCTATAAATAAATAAATAAATAAACAAATAAACAAATGTGTGTATGTGGTGCTGCTCCAAGACGCCGTATGCGCCATGAGTCATAATATTATGCGCTTGCTCTCGCTCTCGCTCTCGTTATCTCTCTGTCTCCCTGTGTATATATAACTGCACCAAGGAAAAACCCAATCAGTGGATGGTTTGAACTTCGTGAACTCGATTTGAAATCGATTTGATATCGAAATCGTACTCCCCCTGTAGAGGGACAGGCCCGACTTCACGGTAGCCGAAACTCCTGCACAGCGTGCCGCGGCGGCGGCCCCTGGCGACACGCCAGGCCGGGCCCCCTCTGCGAGCGGCGAGCTCGTGCCGCTCCTCTCCGCCAGCTCGGGCAGGCTCGGCGCGCTGACGCCGGGGGGCCTGGACAGCAGATTTCGCGCGCCTCGAGCAGGGGCCCGCAGCCCCAGCATTCCTATATGATGGGCCCGTCTTCCACCACTACCACCATATGTTGGAGGGGGAGGGGGTCCACCTCCTCCTCCTCCTCCAACTTATGGTGGTGGTGGTGAAAACCAGGCCCACCACCATAGGCCTACCACGAGATGTTCTTAGGCCCAAAGGAAATCTAAAGACAAGCACATGGCTCGTAGAGCGTCAACCCGATGCCTGAAAACAGGAGGGCCTCCGCCAGAGATGTGCTGATAGCATTTCCTGCAAGCCGCAAGAGGTTCTTAGAACATGTTCTGGTGGCAGGCCCGGGCGCTTCGCCATTGTTTTGGGTGACCCGAAAGGGGGTCCAGCTGAAAGGGGATGGTGCAATAGATTTGGGGGCAATTGTACTGCAACTGTACTGCGCTGGAGAATTGTATTGCGTTGCATGGCAAGTAATGCATTGCACGCGAAAATCCGGCAATACATCTGCGCCCCAGACTGTCTTGCACGCCCCGAATCTATTGCGACAGCACAGATCTATTGCACAAGATCTCTCTCTTGCACCACCCCCTTGTCGCTGGACCCTCTCTTGGGTCAACCCGAACTGTTCGAGTGTCGCGCCGAATGAGCGCATGAAATTGAGGGATGAAAAAACGACCCTACCCTGGGTTACAAGTGCGTGGTCTGTAAACCTCCTGGGAACCCCCAAAGCCTAGAGCCACCAGGACGCGGCACATCACGCAGGGTTTTCCCTGTCAGCCCACAGGAGTTTCAGCGCACAGCGCCTCGTAAACCAGGGTAGGGGCGTTTTTTTATGCCCTTGATGAAAAGCGACCCCTGCCCCTCGCATGAGGAACTTTAGACCACGTGTACGGCAATGGCCTCGCTTAAAAGGCGCCTACACTTACACACCCTCGCCACAGCTGCAACACGTTGACATATGAAATTGATATTCGTGGCGGGCTGGGGTCGGTTTCCCCCTGTATACCAAAAATACCCCAACATAGCAAAACATACTAAAAGAATCGTCCCCAGACTATTGTTTTACTACTTTTGAATATCTTCCCCCTGTAGAGAGACAGGCCCGACTTAAAGCATGGCGGGCCAGGACCCGCGGAGGGTGGCCGGCGCTGGCCTCCTTGCCCGGCACCGCCGCCGCGCACGGACCGCACTGCCGGCTGTGGCACACGACGACCACGTCGCTCTCCACGTGCTCAGCGCGGCGCCGCCGGCCCCCCCACCGCGCCCTCCTCCTCCTCCTCCTCCTCCTCGCCTTTCTCCTCGCCTTTCTCCTCAGCTCCTGCGCCCTAATTCCGCCCTTCGTTCATGTGTGATTCCTTCTTCCTCCCCCTTTCCGTCCGTCCTTCATTCATGTGCGATTCCTTCTTCCTCCTCCTTTCTGTCGTCCCCGTTCCCCC